TGTGGACCGTGACTGGCTGTACTGGTGCTAAATTCAGTCTCCCGAGTGCTGATCGGCAGTTGAACCTTACTTTCTTAAGCTGCAAGTGGTTGTTAGCAGCTAACAAGACTATCCCCGTGAAGCCGATTACAGAACTAGAGGCCGAGGAAGCTTCTCAGGTTGATTCCCGTAGGATTTGGGAAAATGCTCGATCACAGAGGACACGGAACAAGACTCGTCGGATTGATGAAGAGGGAAAGAAGACCTTTCATTCCGCAGATGAGGCTTCAGGCGGAGATCCTGAAGGTTATGAAGACTTTTCCGAGCGAGGTTTGCTATTCATCTTTTCCTTCCATCTTCCAGAAATATTGAAACTAACTATGGTTTGATGTTTCAGGGACCACAGTTGACCAGGATGAAGAGTTCCGTCCCCCTTCCCAGGCGAGACCTTCGATTATTGTCCCTGCTGCTAGGCGGAAGAGATTAGCCCGCAAGCAGCGTGTAGCTTCCCGAGCATCTGATATGGACTTGGCTGGTGATGATCCTGCTAGTGACGGAGGTAACATCTACTTTGTAAACCACCTTCTTGGTTATTCGGAACATTGACTCATGCTTTTCCATCTCTATATAGGAGAGCGTGGAGAGAGCGAAATGAGTTCCGATTCCGTTCCTGTATCTCCTGGTGAGCCTGACCCGCTGCCCCAGTTTAAAAGGCCTACAGGGGTTGCCGACATTAGGGAGGATAGCAATGTAGGACCTGATTCCGCAGATCCAGGTACATCTACTATTGACAATGTATCTTTTAGATGGTATACAAAAGAATTTGTGCATCCTCTAATCATCTCTGTACACCTTGCTTCTTCAGATAACCTGCAGGAGGCATACGTGGATTTTGGGAATAAAGAGGCTAACGCATCCATAAGGGGTAACTCATTTCTGTTGGTTGTAGTCTCTTTATTCTTCTTTGGTACTTATATTCTTTTACATCAGATTTCTCCATTGATGATTTTGACGAGGAAGACTTGATCACGGACACTCCTACACTCCACTTCATGTATAGCTCTCCTCAGTCTGATGGCCAGTTACCTGGAGACATATTTTCCGAGCCCACGTTCGATAAGAATCTTGAGGATGATTCTTTCGAAGGTATATGCCTCCTCCCAAATTAATTATAGGACTAGCCAATTTTGACTAATGCAGCTATAATGTGATGCCTCTGAGAATTCTGACTTGTATTTAACAGGAGTTTTTGTTGAGAATGACCCTGTTGAGCCGGCTATGGGACCAACTACACCAGTTGATACACCCCCAGCCGTTACACCTCCACCACCCCCAGTGACTCAAGAGGGTATGAATACTATTTATTTACTCTTCAAGGTCTTTTTCTGACGGTTTTATCTTTTTTTTATCGTGCAGGGAATTCTTCTCGTCTTCATATTCTGGCGAGGGAGTTGTTATCTGATGATGATCCTGAGAAGATTGTCATCTGCATAGAAGTCCGCTCCTTCTTCTCTTTCATGAATGCTATGATTGGCAAGCTTTTCCATGGTGGACTTTCTCTTCGCCAATTCAAGCCTTTCCTTGATTCTAAAGTCAATTTGATAAGGGAAGCGGGACATCCAGATTTGGCACAGGCTATAGTTGATGACCTTGATTGCCTAGAGCATGAGCTTCAGATGTTTCGTGAGCTCCGAGATGCAGGTGCCTCCTCATTTATTGCTACCGAGCTGGACACCCGCTTACAGTCATCACGCGAGACTCAGATTTTTACTGAGCTCGAGATTCAGATGCAGCGGGGCCGAGTAGATCGAGTTAAGACGAGCCTTGCTACTAGATTATCTTCGCTTGCCGAGCTCGATCTTTCTATTACCTCCTGTGCGACCGAGATAGACCAGCTCAGAAGAACACTCCGTGAAAAAGAAGAGACTTTGGATATTCTTCAGATGACGAAAGCACAGGATCAGCAAACCCACACTGCTTTATCTGATGAGTTGAGATCCCTGGAGCAGAAGCTAGCCGAGACAGAAGAGATCGCTGCGAGGACTTCAGCCACCACCGAGGAGTCCATCAGGGCTGAACTTAGGCAAGCTTATGATGAGAAGCTTTCTAAGATCAGTCAGCAGATTTTTGGTCATGGTCTTGATGTATGATTTTGTTTGCTGAACACTTTGACTTTTGATTCTCTTAGTGAAACTTGCTTTCGTCTTTATTATGATTCGTCATTCCATTTGAAATGATTGACCACAATACTCATAGGATTTTTGGCAAACCCTCAGCCATCAACGGGTTTGATGAGCCTTTACCGACTACCGTTTGAGTCGGGCTAGCATGCGGATTGTTTAAATCCGTTCTTGACTGGCGTTGACCTAAGGTTACGCGTTGTCCGGCGTAGACCTTAGGGTTTTGAACGTCGTATGTTGCTCAGGTCACGAGACTAACTCATAAAGTTGATGCGTCAATGACTCGCATTTATAGAATTTTTGGCAAATTCTCAGATGTTTCTCTGTTGATTGTGAACCCAACGGTCATAATACTTACAGGATTTTTGGCAAATTCTCAGCCATCAACGGGTTTGATGAGCCTTTACCGACTACCGTTTGAGTCGGGCTAGCATGCGGATTATCGGAATCCGTTCCGCATGTAACGTTGTGCTAAGGGAATGAACTCCCTTAGACTTCGTGCTATGATGTCGAATACATAGACTTCGCCATTGTTACGGGAATAGGCTACCCGGCGACACGTGTTAGGTGTTGACTTTAGGATTTTTGGCTAACCCCCAGCCTTCAACGGATTTGATTAGCCTTTACCGACTACCGTTTGAGTCGGGCTAGCATGCGGATTGTCTAAATCCGTTCGCATGTAACGTTGCGCTAAAGGAATGAACTCCCTTAGACTTTGTGCTATGATGTTGAATACATAGGCTTTACCATTTGTTATGGGAATAGGCTACCCAGCAACGTGTTTTAGATGCTGACTTATCCCTACTTAGGCTTCAGGATGAAATTCCCCAGAATCGGCTAAAGGAATGAACTCCCTTAGACTTGATGCTACGACTTCGAATACGTAGACTTCGCCGTTGTCATGGGAATAGGCTACCCAGCAACGTGTATTAAACGTTGACTTATCCCTCCTTAGGCTTCGGGATAAAATACCCCAGAATCGAACTCTGGTGTCTTTTTGTTCGAAAAAAGACTAAACCGGCGACGCGTGTTAGGCGTCGACATATCCTTTCTTAGGATTCAGGATGAAATTCCCCATGCGTGTAAGGCATGGATTCTGGTGTTATTAATAACAACCTGCCACAATTAAACCGGCAGCGCGTGTTAGGCGCAGACTTATCCCTGCTTAGGATTCGGGATAAACTTCCTAGGATGAATCCTAGATTGACAAATTTTGGGAAAAGAGTTGGTGTGGGAAGGAAGAATTTTATATTCTGTTCCCCAAACAAGGAAGGAAGAATTTTATATTCTATTTCTTGATTCTGGAAAGGAAGAATTTTATATTCTGTTTCCAGTGCGAGAAAGAAACTAGAAGTAGGATCTCCACTCTGAGAATCCGGAAGATCTAAATAAGCTTACCTTTTATAGGATTGGCTATCTAGATGAGTTTTTCATTTATCGAAATGGAATTTCAGCTTTGGTTACAACCATGAGAAGGCTTAACCAAAGAGAAAAGGGAGGGAGTTCTTTCGTTTA